CCAGCTCCACAGTCCTCTGACTTGGGCTGGATAGTCTCAGCTGGCACTTTCCCTGGGACCGCTAAAACCACAGTGAGGGGCAGAGAGCTGAGGGATGAAGAAGGCAGGCTGAGTGATGCTTGGGAGCGGGAGACGGGCTTGACTGGAGTCCTGGGGAAGGTCTGAGGGCTCTGAAGGGGGCTGTGGATGAGAGGTAAAAGAAGGGAGGGACATAGGAGCGGGGGAGGACACGGAGCAGGTGCCGGTGGAGCAGGGCAGGGACTGTGACTTTGAGGGTGTCATGTTGCACGTGCTGGGGGTGAGGACCCCGAGACTGGAGGAGCAGGGCTCCAGGGCAGGCAGGACGGCACGGCCCGCAGCGGAGGGGAGGGGCATGCAGTGTGCTGTCTGCAGGTTGGCAGGAGAGGAGGAGAGTGTGAGCGAGGAAGCCCTGGAGACTGGAAGAGGTGAGGGGCCCAGTGAGTGAGGGGCTCTTGTTAGAACCTGGGGGTAGGAAGGGGCCAAGGTGAGTGCCGTCCACCCCAGACTGTCCCTCGGGCCTGTACTGTGTCTCACGGTGCAGGCATCACCCAGCCCCACAAGAGAGCAGCTCACTGGTGCCACCACCCATTCTGCCTGGCATGGCAGGGCCTGCCTGTGCTGGCTCAAACCAGTTTGAAGAGATAGGCGTTAATGGCCCCATTTTACAGATTAGGGAATCAAGGCTGAGTGTCTGCTAAAGTTAGGTCACTTGACCAGGGGACATTGGCCCTGGAGCTGGAAATGAAACCAGGGAAGCCCTGGGTCTCCAGGGCACTGTCTTGCCTCTGGAGACCGCCAGGGTGTCTCGGCCAGGGCAGGGAGTGTGACTCGGTCTCAGAGCTTGTCCTGGAGTCATGCCCCAGGCTCAGCACCTCCTCCCTGGAGCCTGGCCCCGGGACCACTCCCTAATTTTAGGGGCCCAGCATGAAATGAGCATAAGCAGCCTCTTGCTCAAAAGGGAAGAGTTTCAAGACAGTGACTGCAGAGCGCGACTGGGCGCGGGGCCATGAGTGACTGCAGGGGTTACATGTCTTGTAGCACTGGGTGGGCTTCTGGCGCCTGCTGCCTCCAGCCTGGGGGCCTCGCCTGGGCACTGCCCTCAGCTTCCTGCCCAGGCTGAAGGCTGCGTGGCACCTCCCTCTCTGGGACTGAGACTCCGTTTGCTGAGATTTCTCCTCCCTTTTTGTGCCCTTTTTGAGCAGTTCTGATACTGACTTCTGCAGTTTGGTCTGAGATGGGCCCTGCTTCACCCTGCATTGCCCTTTGGAGACACAAACTTCAGCCTAGACTCGCTGGCTCCTCAAGGCTCACTGCTCAGATGGCCACCGAGCGGTGTCCCTAAGGGGAAGGGGCGCCTGGGCAGTGTTGGGTCCCATGGCTGTGGGTGAGGTGAGCACCTAGGACAGGTCTTAGGCCTCTGTGCAGGTGGCCCCGCAGTTTCTTTTGCATTAGTGCCACTCCATCCCCGGCCTGAGCCCTCTCCCAGGCATCTGGCTCCTCTGTGGGCCAAGGCTGCCTAATGGTTAGGGGCAGGGGTGCTGTCATTGCAGCCTGGACTGCGAGCAAGCCACTTCCCTCTGCAAAACGCCGGCAGAGGGGTAAAACACTGCTTTGTGGGCTGCTGTGAGTTCAGACTGTGGTCAGCCTTCCATGCATAGGTCAGTCCATTACCAAAGAGATGGGATGTGACAGGCTGCTGCCTGCCTCCCAGGGCAGGGCTCCCTGCTGTGTTTCCTCTGCTTAGCCCTGTGCTCCCGGCCCGTCCCACCCAGCCTGCCTCTTACCTCTAGCTGCTGGTCCAGGAGGAAAGGGCAGGGCTCTGCGGGTGGCAGGTGATCTCTGCCCGTGGGTGGCGGTGGTGGCAGGGGGCTCTGTGCCTCTGTGGGCGGAAGGCTGGCTATTTAAGGAGAGGAAGGGAGACCACAGCCCCTCTGGCCCTGAAAGGCTGCTTCATTCCTGAGGGGTCCCTTGTGTGGCGGGCGGCTCCTCTGGCTGCCGCTGCTGCCACTGAAGCGTGAATATTCCAGTGTGTCCCCAGCCCATGCCCCCCGCCCCCGGCTTGACCACAGAGGCTGAGTGTGTGACTGTCTCGGAGCCTCAGAGCAGGCGGGGGCTGGTTGGGGGGCTTGGGCTGGAGCTGACGGACACAACAGGACGTTTCAGAACGGGATGATTTCCTACTGATGGGGGCAGGGAGGGGCCGGCTGCCATGGCAACAGGCCGCACTCCCAGGCCTGTGCCCACAGACAGCGGGGAGGAGTGGGGGGGGGTGTGGGGGAGAGCCTGTGAACGGAGGGTGGGAGGCTGAGGAGTCTTGCTCACTGAGTGAGAGGCGACTCTTTGAGGACACTTGCTGTAGGGTCCTTGTGTCCTGCCCTGTATAATGAGGCCCCATTTGGGCATGCAGAATAAATCATGGCCTTTATCTGGAGCGAGACACAGCTGCAGGAGCCTCATAATGGGGCGCTGTCCTGCCCGTGGGGACAAGACTCAGCTCAGAGGCCGGCCCCGCCGCTGCAGCTCCTCCTCTGCACGGGAGCCCCTGTGAATCCGAATCTGACCACTGGCCCTGGGGCTCCTCCCTGGGGTGGCTCCGGGCTGGAGCGCCTGTGAGTGCTGCTGGTGGCCGCCTCTGAGGCTGAGGGAACAAAGTTAGTTTTTCCCTTTCTAAAAATGATACATCCAGAGACATGGGAAACCAAATCACCCTTTCTGGTTTCAAAAGACTTTATATTTTGTTGTTAAAACATTGAACACTTTATGTATGCCACTGGCATTTATGGAGTGCCTACCTATCACACGAACTATTTTCCATTTGTCTCTTCACATAACCCTTTGCAGCTGGGATTATTGCCCCATTTTACAGACAAGGAAACTGAGGCTCAGACAAGTGAAGAAACTCACCCATCAGCAAAACAGTAGGAAGCAACAGAGTGAGGATTTGAATCCAAGCACGTGTCACTCCAGGACTTAGTCTTTGTGTGCACGTTTATTTTGCTTTGTTTTTCTGCTGCATTTTGAATTAAAATTCTTCAATTCTATCCTAATTCAACCTGAAAAAGAATTCTGAAGGTCACCTTTAGATCTGGTGCTGCGATGGGGTCTGTTGAGAAGCTGTTTTCCATCTGGTCCTTCCAGAGAGATGGGCTTCCCAGTTTGTCTGGCCTGAGAGTCAGTCATGTGTGAGGTGTCTGAGGTGGGGTGCAGGTCCCTTTCCTGTTGTGCCCGCGGGTGGCTGTCTGGAAGAATTGGCTCACACTGGCTGGAAAGGTGGCTGCTTGAAGCTAGCCACCCTGAGCGGGCATTTCTGGGCTCACAGACCTTCTGTTATTGGGGTGATCGCTGTCCGTGGCTTCAAGGGCCTTGACCATGGAGATGGTTTTGAGGCGTTCAGCTGATTTCTGTAGCTTTGAAATGGAAGTAATTCCTCGTGGGTTGAGTATAGTGCTGACCTTCAGGACGAATCGCCGGAATATGGAGTGGGGTCACCGGCCTAAATGCTGAGTCTGGGATAGAGGCGCTGCAGGGAACGTGGGCTGGCTGTCACAGGCGCTAGGTGGGAAGCTCAGCCCCAGACCTGCTGAGGAGGTGGCCTAGGGCTGTGCCTGGAGCACAGGTGTCTGGGCAAGGGTGGGCTTCAGGAATTGTGGTGGTGAAGACTGAAGCCACAGGCCACAAGTGCTTCCCACTGCTGGGGTGTAAGAGCCGGGGCCCTGGCCACCTGCTGAGGGAGATGATGCCCATCATTGCTCCCTTCCTCTCTTTCACAGTCATTCATCCAGGCATTCAATCTACTGACCCTGAGCTGCTGCCACATGCTGGGCACGTAGGGTCTCGGGGAGGCACAGAGAGCCAGTCAGCAGCTTAGCAAGTGGCGGCTGGGCCTTTGCCTGGGCCCCTTGCCCTGCACACAGCTGACGATGAGACACCCCAGGGCAGACGGAGCACAGTGCTGTGCAGGGTGGAGTCTAGCAGGCCCCTGGGGTCCAGGGAAGGACACTGGATGGGTGGCCCTGACATCTGGGGTCTGCCCTCTATAACCTGGGTGGGCATCTGGGGTCTGAGATTGGATCTCTTCAGTATCCTCCCTGACTAGCCTGTCGGAGGGGTGGACACTGGGCGTTGGAGGGCTGTGGAGGCTGGTGGGGGGTGAAGAGGGCCCCTGGGGCCAGGCGGCCTGGGAAGGGAGGTCTGGATGCAGCAGGAGCACCAGAGTTAGATTCGGGGGGCAGGTGGGAACAAGGTCCAGGGTGTTGGCTTGGGGCCTTTGTGTGTCTTTGCCTGGGGACTCTGAGTCCAGATTCCCACCACCTTTGAGGTCCAAGGAAACAGAACCTATGTTGATTTCTCTCTCAGCTGAGAACACAGCTGTTGTCCACCACAGTGAGTAGCATCAGAAATTGTTCTGAGGCCTTCACAAAAAGACTCTGTCATGACAGCTCCTGGGTTCGGGGCCTCCATCTGACATAGTGGTGCTTGTCTTTTGGACACAGAAAGTGCCTGCACGTGTTTGGGCCCTCCTTCATCCAGCAAACCCTGAAGGAAGGGGGCGAGTGACCTCCCGGGTACTCCCTGGCCACCCTGCTGGGCACAGTGGCATTCACTGTAACTCGTGGTGTTAAATATATTTGGAAAATGAAACAATTTTTTCAGCAGATATCCATTAAATGTCTGCTCTATTCCGTACCATTCCCTAGACTTAGAAGTGGAAAGAGGAAAAATACCACCCAGAGACAGTGAAGGCTCGCATTCTGGCGTCTTTCCTGCTGATCCCCTCCCCGAGCACAGGTCCCATCTCCAGGGTGCACCTGTGGCCTTCTGGGCCTTGTGACTGGGCAGCATGCTTTTCCGGACCCTGGATGACCCTTTGAAGCCCTCAGCTGCTCAGCAGAGTTGCAGGGGTCCGGGCTCTCTTCTCTGGAGGTGGCTGGGCTGTATGGGAGTGGGGGGTCTGCCCCTAATGCCCCTGCCTCCTACAGGCATCTCTGCCGGCCTTGCCACAACCGTGAGAAGGCCAAGGGCCTGGGCAAGTACATCTGCCAGCGGTGCCACCTGGTCATCGACGAGCAGCCCCTCATGTTCAGGAGCGACGCCTACCACCCCGACCACTTCAACTGCACCCACTGTGGGTAGGTGTGCCGCCCTGCAGTGGGGGTGGGCGGGGTGCCAGGGCCGAGCCAGGGGAGGAGCGGTGGGTCCTCCATCCGGGGAAGTGTTGAGGTGGGAGAGGTGGGCAGGGTGGGCAGAGAGAGGGGTTCCGAGAGTGGGGCTGCAGGGCGGAGGTGGGCCGGGGGCCATGAAGCGGCCAGGCAGGAAGCTTCTTTCTCCAGGGCTCTGTGCAGTGGGGCACTTGAGACCCAGGGGGCAGGTGGGCTAGGCCCCTAGACCGCACGTGACGGTTGAGCTGGAGAGGCGGAAAGGACCTGAGGGGGGGGGGAAGAGGCCAGGGGCGTGCCTGGCGCTGGTGTTAAGAGAGGAGTGGCACAGGCAGCCCCTCGGCCCCTCTTCGCCTACCCCCACCGTCCCGTCCAGTCCTCTCCGTGCCTATCCCAGACACCCAGCTGGTTTGGAGGAGGAGGGGGGCCGGAGAACAGACCCACTTCTCACAGGCCTGAGTGCAGAACACAGGCCACTCTTCTGGGCTGTGCGGGAAGTCCGTGCTCCAGGGCCCGTCTGGGGCACAGGAAGCCTTCAAAGGGCCTAGAGATCAGAGGGAGCAGCCGCCTCAGGTCTGCAGGGACAGAATGGCCCCTCGGGGAGCCGTGCCCCGGGCCGGAGGTGCTGGCATGACCCTGCAGAAGGGCAGGGACGGCACCTGGGGGCTGCACGTTGTCTTCCAGGAAGGAGCTGACGGCCGAGGCCCGAGAGCTGAAGGGTGAGCTCTACTGCCTGCCCTGCCATGACAAGATGGGCGTCCCTATCTGCGGGGCCTGCCGCCGGCCTATCGAGGGCCGTGTGGTCAATGCACTGGGCAAGCAGTGGCACGTGGAGGTAAGCCAGGCTGGCGGGCACATGGCCTCAGGTTGGGGGGTTGCCCCAGCTCAGGGTCACAGTCAGAGCCCTGAAGCCCCTCCATACTCCCAGCCCAGGGCGCGTGGCTGGCTCCCGGCGAGGCCCTTCCTCTGGGGTACTGCCCCTCCCTGTGCTCAGCCAGGGATCCCAGCCTGCCCACAGGAACCAGGAGACACATGTGCACACACATGGTTGGGTAGCCGTGCCCACCTCTCCTCTTCCCCATGCTGGCATTCTAAGAGACTCCAAAGTCTGGAGAAAACCGTGGGGGTGCCTGGGGGGCTGTGGTTGGCAGAACCTGCTGTGTGGACAGCCCTGTGCAGACACAGAGCTGCAGAGTTCTTAGGTGTGCGTGCTGGGTCACCTGCAGTGTCCCCGCTGGGTGTGGACTCTCATGTTCTCACGGGTACACTGGGAACAGTGAGCCCATCACCTTCCCTGGTGACCTGGCCAGCGCTGTGTCCAGAAGCTGTGCCTTGGGTGGCAGTGTGAGTGGGAGGCCATGCCATCCTGCCCTGATGCAGGCCCCAGTCCCCAGCCCCCAGCCCCCAGCCCTCATCCCCACATGCAGATCCCTGGGGGAATGCAAGTGCTGCTCACCCCCCAGGTCTGCAGGGGGTGCCTGCAGGAGTCCCCACATGGATAGGCAGTGCTGCCTCTGCCTTCTAGGGTCCACCATACTGCAGCACTGGGCTGGCACCTGACTCCTGGGGCTGAGGCTGCTGAGGGGGAGGCTAGAGTGGGAGGGGATGGTGACGTGTAAGGTTACCGTCAGTGCCGTGGAGGACGGGCAGGGTCTGCTGAGCCCACAGCATCCACAGAGGTGTCAGCCCCCCACAGTGTGAATCCCAAAAGGCCTCCACCCTCCCAGCCTCTGCTTCCTGTCCCCTTTGCCACCGCTGTCTCCTGGGGTCACTGCTGTCCCCTGGAGTCGCCATTGGCTCCTGGGGTCACTGCTGTCCCCTGGGTCACCGCCTGTCCCTCGGGGTCACCGCTCTAGCCCTGATGCTACCGGCCTCCCTCTCCTCGCAGCACTTTGTCTGCGCCAAGTGTGAGAAGCCATTCCTGGGGCACCGGCACTACGAGAAGAAGGGCCTGGCCTACTGCGAGACCCACTACAACCAGGTGAGCCGGTGCAGAGCCTTCGGGGACGTGGGCTGGAGGGGTGGCCAGGAGGGAGGCTGTGGGCGGCCCCTCAGGAGCTCTGCCAGGTGCTGGGCCCGGGCCTGCACACTCAGCCCTGGCTCCTGGCCTGGGGTCTTGAGACCTGGGCGGCATTCTCAGCCCAGCATTCTCTGGGGTGGGTGTGAGGTCCTGGGCACGTGGGGCTGACAGCGCCTGCAAGCCCTTCCCTCCCTTGCTCTGGGACAGAAGGCAGAGGAGGCTGATGAGGTGAGGTCACCCGGGCTCACCACCTCGCTGGACAGCAGCAGGAGCCAGAGCAAAGGCGCCTTCTGGGGAGCAATGTCCAGCCTGATTTCCTTCCCAGGGGTGGGGGTTGCTCTAATGGGCCGCAGGGCCCTCATCCCAGCCTGGCAGCAGGGCCTGGGAGATGCCTGAGAGGGGCTGTGTTGGAAGGCCAGGCCGGCGGCATGATGGCCCTGGCTGGGGTGTGACTGCTGGCAGCCGCTCTGACAGCCTACTCGGCCCGCAGCTTTTCGGGGACGTCTGCTACAACTGCAGCCACGTGATCGAAGGCGATGGTGAGGCCTTGTGTTCCCTCCCCCCACCCCACCTGCTCTTCTGGGGCCTGGGTCCTGCAGCTGTGAGCCCAGCTGGGCAGCCTGGCCAGGCCTGCTGAATCCCGCTCTTCCCCCGCAGTGGTGTCAGCCCTCAACAAGGCCTGGTGTGTGAGCTGCTTCTCCTGCTCCACCTGCAACAGCAAGCTCACCCTGAAGTGAGTGCCTGTGATCGTGGGGTGGGGCTCAGGGTGGAGGGGCTCCCGCAGGTCCTCCCTCTCAGCAGCCGTCGGCACACCGGCTGGGTCCGACCTGCGGATACGGTGGGGACAAGGGGCAGCCTGGCCCCACAACACCCTGGAGATGGGGGCAGGTCCAGGGGGCCTGGGGGGTCCAGGGACCCCAGGTCACAGTGAGAGGAGGAGGAACACTCGCTCCTCTAACACACCTGCCAGAACCCTGGGCTCCGGGGAGGGAAGGGCTTTCCCGCCCAGGGAACAGCATATGCAAAGGCAGCAGTGTCAGCTGCGTATCCAGGAAGCCTCAAGGGGCGTGGGATGGCTGGAGCTGTGAGAGGAGAGAAAGCGTCCAGGTTTCCAAGGGCAGTGGGGAGCCATAGACGGTTCTGGAGTGTCAGCACCTGAGAGAAGCCTCTGGGAGGGAAGGGAAACCTCAAGGCCCTTCTCATTCCTACGCTCTCCGGCCAGCTCAGCCTAGGGCCTGGCCTGCTGGCTGGGAGAGGTGGCTGTGGGGAGGCTGGTGGCAGGGGAAAGGCCACTCTTCTGCCTCCACGGTCACCTGTCTGGGGTTCAAGTGGAGGGCGTGGGGCTCTGCTGACAGGCCGGCTTCCTCCCCAGGAACAAGTTTGTGGAGTTCGACATGAAGCCCGTGTGTAAGAGGTGCTACGAGAAGTTTCCGCTGGAGCTGAAGAAGCGGCTGAAGAAGCTGTCGGAGCTGACCTCGCGCAAGGCCCAGCCCAAGGCCGCGGACCTCAGCTCCGCCTGAAGACCCAGCGCCCCTGCCGGGCTGCGCCTCGGCCCCTCTGCCTTCTTGCCTCCTGCTGCCCACGCGTGGCCCCTCGTCCCCGTCCGCCTGCGGCCCTCCGCCTCTCACCCTCCCCTTCTCTTTCCCCTTCGCCGCCTCCCTTCCTGTTCTCAGCTCTGCCGTCCCCAGGTCTCGCCTCTCCTTGGCTGTGGCTTCTCTCTGTGAGGAAGGCAGGAGCCGGGGAGTGGGAGCCTGTGACGGGCTGGGCCACGTCTGACAGCCACGTCCGCCTGTGCCTACAGCTTCCGCCCACAGACCTCCAGGGACAGGAGCAAACTGCATCACAGCTCCTGACCTGGCCTGGCCTGGCCCTGCCCAGGTGGCTTGGTAGCGCATGCCATCCTGTGTGAGCCTCTGCCCCAGAGCGGCCCCGCTAAGTACATGTGGCTCCTGGGCTACCCACGGCCAGGGCAGCCTGCGGGAGCCACAGGGCCAGGGCCACGCAGATGGAGGCCTCTGGGAGCCATCCTCATCCCTCACCACTCGCTCAACCAGTGGCACAGTGTCCCTGTGCCCACACCGAGCCACCAAGTCCTCTGTCCACACCCACAAGCTACCTGGAGGGAGAGGACCCACCTCCATCCCTCAGAAGGCCTTCCTGGAATCCCACCTTGGCCACCCACCCGGGTTCCCCCTCCCCCACCTCGGGACCTGTGTTGAGCCTTTGAGTGGGGCCAGGGTCCAGGAGGTGGGGGGGGGTCAGAGGCGGCTCATTCCCACCTCCAGGGAGGACACTTCGTCTGCGGCCAGTGCAGACCTGGCGCAGGGCTCACGCTTGCACAATGAAGGCTTGTTCACACAACCGCAGCAGCCTGCGTGGTTTGCAGCAGGGGTGGGAGGTGGATGGGGTGGCAGCGGCTCTGGACATACCACTAGTGGGGTCGTTGAACAGAGGGACAGACATCAGACAGGCAGGCACGAGTTCAGGGGGTCCTAGCCTCCATCCCAGGCCAGGCTGCCAGCAAAGCTTGAAGACTAGCCCAGCCAGGACCCCACAGTCCTGGGTGGCCGGGTCCACATAAGCTGACCCAATGGGCACAGCAGGGAGTGGGCAGGGACAGGACATGCCAGTGAGGTGGCGGAGTCCAGGCCTCAGAGGTGGTGCCCAGCTCTGCCCACTGTCGGGGCATAGGCTGGCCTTAGCATGAAGCGGCAGCCAGAGAGTGGCACCTCTGCCCGGGCCTCCTGGGGGAGTGCGGCTGTCTCAGTGCCTGGGGGAAGGACAGAAGGTGTGAGGAGGGGCCTGGGAGGAGGACTCTCCCATGAGTGCCCCTCCCCAGTCTGAGGAACAAGAAGGAAGGGAGGGAGGGGGAGGAAGGGAGGAAGGAAACAGAATGAGGGAAGGATGAGGTCATTCCTGGAGAATGCAGCTCCCCTCCGGGTACCCTGGGGAAGCCACACAGCATTTTGCTTTTTCTGTGGCTCTCTGAGGGCCAGCGCCTCCGGGGCCCCTGTCCACCTGGTGCCCCACATTGCTTGCTCAGACAGGCTCACTTCCTCTCTCCAGGGATTTTTATTAAACATTCTGGTGGGGTAGGGGAGACCTCTCAGCCATCCACCAACAGCCTGGGGGTCCAAGACTCCCGACCCCACTCTGAGCTGGTCTTTTGGCCTCCATGAGTGGTGTTTGAGACAGAGGGGGCTGTCTGGGGGGCTGAGTGGGCTTTGTGTGGGGGGCGGCATGGAAGGCTGCCTGCCGAAGACAGGCCCTGGGCTGAGGGGGCCTGGGAAGGTGCTGCCAGGCTAGAGATCAGGAAGGCGCCTGAGCGGACACGCCAGCATCCGCCGCTAGGTGCTGGCCAGGGCTGGGGCCTTGGAGCCCCTCTGCTTGTCCATGGCACTCAGGAGCTGCTGCACATAAGAGGTCAGCAGGTCGTCCATCTTGTAGCCCTGGACAGGGGACAGGGTGGGTCAGAGGCTGTGGGTGCAGAGGGCAGGTGGGGGTCTTTGACTCAGGGACCACCTTCTCTTCCTCAGCAACCAGCTGTGCAGGGCAAGGAGAGAGGGAAGGTGGGCTCCTGCCCTTCCCTCCCAGGACAGGCGTTGGGGCCGCCATTCCTGCCTGCCCTGCTGGGGCTGGGTCTCCCTCTCTCTTCAGAATGGGCCAAAGGTGTAGGGGGTCCTGCCTGGTCTTGCCACTTTGGCTGCTGGTCCTGGGGATGCACCCAGTCCCCCTCCAGGTCTCCTGGCCCTGGCTGGGCCCTGGGACCAAGTCCTCTTAGTGAGCCACTTGAAAAGGGTGGGGCGGGGAAGCCAGTCCCCAGCAGCTCTGTCCCGTGCATCTTGGCTGGGAGAAGGGACCTGGGCTCACCAGGGAGGTCTCGCACAGCAGGCGGCTGCCACGGCCCAGGCTCCCCAGCGCCATGTGGAAGTAGGTGCTGCCGCTGCTCCAGCTGGAGATCTTGGTGAAGGGATAGGTGGTGAGCAGCTCCTGGGGGCACAAAGTGTGGGTGGGCAGGGCGCCTCCAGAGCCCGTGGGCTGTGCGTGTGTTAGGGGACAGGAGAGAGGTAGGACACACCACAGAGGTGACCACAGCCCCACCTGCACGGGTCCCTGGACCAGGCAGCCCCAAGCCCCTCTGGAGGCCCAGCAGCTACCTTGGTCTTGGGGTGGATGAGCAGAACCCCACGTCGGTTGATGGCGATGAGGATGATATCAGGGTAGGAGGGCTCCGAGGTTTGCTGAGAGGGAGGGACATGGTGGTCACACTCCAGCGCGGGAGGCCAGGCCGCACCTCCCAGGAGCTCACCTGGGCCATGCGCATATACATGCATGCCCACACACTCCAGCCTTGCGGCCAGCCCCAACCAAGATGTGCGTGGATTGACGCTGGGCCTGCCGGGGCAGTGTTGAGGGGGGCCTCCTTGGGTCGGAGGCCTGAGTGAGGGGCAAGGCCTACCTTCACCTCGAAGAAGGCGGACCCGAAGGTGGGCCACCGGCAGATCCACTTCAGGAAGGCCACCTTGGCCTCCTGCACGGTCTTGTCCTTGTGCTTGTCATAGGCCAGAGGGATGCTCTGGAGAACGGGAGGGCCAGTAAGGGCCTGGGTGCCCAGAGGCCCCCAAAGCCTCGGTGAGGGCAGCACCTGCCTACCCCAGGGCCAGTATGGGGGGAGAGGGGGAATGCAGCATGGGGACAGAGTCTCAGAGGCGCTGTGGACAGCATGGGACGGTGTGGTATATGTGGAGCCAGCCCACCATCCACACCACCCATGTGTGTCCATGTGCGCTTGGAGCCCAGGCAGGGCATGGTACTGGGACAGGGTCCCCGGGAGGGGCAGCAGCCCAAGGACCCTTCCCAGCCTTATCAGGGACCTTTTTCCACTCCTCCAAGGACATCAGGCGTGTGAGGTTCTCGGGCACCAGTTCCCTCAGGATCTTGGGGACACTAGCCAGCTGGGACTGGTCATTGTCGAACTGGGCCTTGTAGATGAGGCCTGCCAGGTGGATGGCATCCTCCCGCGAGCACTTGTGGAACCCACGCAGGTACTTGGGCAGCTCCTGAGTGGTGGACACACTGGGCATGCCGGGTGTCCCGCTGCGGCCCACCCAGCCCGAACTCTTTCTCGCTTAGGTGGTGGGGACCTGAGGCTTAGACCACTCCATCCAGGGCAGACTGAGCAGGGTAGAGTTTCAGGCCGGGGGTATGACCTGAGTTGGGGCAGGGCCCCCTGACATCTGCGTGGCCTGCCCCACCCATGTGGTTGGCCCTGCAGGTCGAGGCCACTGCTCCATGGGCTGCAGGACCTTCTGCCCCACCCTCCCCAAGTCCTGCTGCAGGTGCCAGTGCAGTCACTGTCCCCAAACACTGCTTCCCTCTGCTCCTGCTTCCAGAGGCCTCAGGGGCTTCTTTTGCCTACCACGTGGGTACCTAAGGCTGAGGCTCACCCTGCCCTGGCCTGCTGGCTTCTACAGCCTCAGAAGAGGTGTGGGAGAATGAGGTGGCCCCAATGCCCCCCAGGGCAGCCTGCCTGGTACCTGGTGGTAATGGAGTATGGTGTCTGCGTTCACATCCTTCCCTGGGACCACGTTGAGCCACAATTTCCGCATGAAGTACACCTGGTAGGGGAGCGTCACGGGGGCCCCTGGGCGAGGGCCAGCAGTGGGCACCAAGCCTATCCCAGCAGGTGCCACCAGCCCTGACCCCCTGCCACCCTCACACTGTGCCTGCCACCTCCCTGCCTGGAAAGCCTCCACCCTTCTTCCTCCCCGGTCTCCATCTCTTCCTTAGCCTAGCCTTCAAGACTAGTATAGAGGTTGCCTTCTCCAGGAACATTCCCGGAGTCCCCCAGCACCCCATGGGGTTCATGCCCCTCAGCCCCGGGCATCCTTCAGCACCCAGTGGTCAGCTACCTGCTCCTGCCTGAGCTGGGAGGCCCTCACCACCAGGCCCCAGGGCCTGGTTGTCCCCACAACCCAGAGACACACAGGGGAATGAATGGATGGATGAACTGGCATGGGCCCTGCAGGAGGCCCTGCCCACAGAGGCCGACAGCACCCGCTCACCCCATCGAGCCACGCCTTCCCCCGGCTCCACAGAGGCCTCCTCACCTTCTTTCTGTGGCTTGTTCTTCTTCACCCAGTCAGACACCTGCCTCAAGGAGTCAAAGAAGAAGTCTCCCTCCTTCTGGCTGATGACCTGGGGCAGGGGAAGGTACAGGGAAGTTGGGTGACTTCCAGGGGACAGTCCTGGTCCAACACCAGAGCCCCTGGCAGGCTGAGGGCCCCCAGGCAGCACCTAGGGCCCCGCTCACTGCCTGCCTGCCCACTGCCCGCTGCCCACTGCCCGCCCAGCCCTGGCCTAGCCCACCTTGTCTGTGATCTTGATGAAGAGGCTGCAGCCCTCCCAGGAGGCCAGTTGCAGCCTGGTGGCAATGCTGTCACACATATCCCGCACCCGCGTGTTGGCACCCACTTCCAGCATCTGGACAGAGAGGTGGCTGGTGGGGCGTGGGGCCTGGCTAGGGGCCAGCACAGCCCAGGATGATCCTTCCTAGCCTGGCACTTTTGCTCCTTCATAAAACCTGGGCTGGATGTGGTCTGCCCTGAGCAGGGCAAGTCTCACTTCCAGAACCCTGGCCAGAGGTTCACATTGTTCAGTCCCAGCCTTTGCTGTCCTGGAGCCCTGGAGGCCTGGCCTTTTGACATGCCTTGAGAGCCCAGCAGCCAGACTGTGGGAACTTCCTGCTACTGGGACTCGACTGTCCCCAAGGCCAAAAAGACCACCCTGCTGTTGGAGAGGGTGTGAGGCGGCACTGCCCACCTCCGCCGCTCAGCCCGCTTGTATGTGCTCCCCTGGCCAAAGCCTCTGTCACGGCTGGGTCCTGGTGGCCTCCCACCTGTCCCCTGTCCCCTTTGTTCCCCCAGCAGCCATGGCAGGCTCTGTGCGCAAGGCACACCCAGTGGGGACACCTGCTCCCCTGCGCCCCAGCAGGTCAGAAACCCCTAAGGGCCCCCAAGTCCAGGGACTCGCCCTTGCTGCCCACCCCTCTGTCCTCTCTCCTGTGTCCTAGGCCTGGATCCCCCAACTCGTGCCTTGAGACTGGCCTGACTTCCAAAGCACCCAAGGGCAGGCAGGGCCTGCGTCCCATGGGGAGGGAGCAGGAGACTGCTGAAGATGGGACAGCCCTAGAAAAGGCCCTCCAAGGGTGACCAAGAGCAGGCTGGGCCAGTAGGGACGGTGCCCCACGGCCTCCAGAGGTCTGACACTTGCCGGGGAGACCAGGACAGGGGCTCACCTCGCTGGTGTCATTGGGGAAGAAGATCTTGTGGCAGATGCGGGAGACGTTCTGCTCCGCTGCCTCCAC